ATTGGGAAAAAAAATAAAAATAAAAAACAAAAAAATGGTGGTCTCTGCAAAAGTTATGCTGCATTTTATTTTTTTCCAATAGCACATAAATATAACCTGAACACCAACGTTTGCAGAAGATGTCATATTTAGGTTCCCTGTAAGGGATGTGTAACTTATTTTCACGTAGAAAATCAGCAAAACGTGTCATTTGACCAGGACTGTTCAAACGTTTGCACTCAACTGCAAATATTAGCGCTATGTAGACTAATCAGTCTCTATACCACAGTACTAGAGCCCTTCTACATACCTTAAAGTCATCTGCACGCTATGACACTGGACCTAGATGGGGTCAAACTGTCTAAATGCATTTTCCCCAAAGCTCAACTGCTTTTTCTCCCCCATAGAACAGGGCCTGAGCAACACACCCAACCTATAGCTCTAAAAGCCCCTTTGTGATGAGTGAGGAAGGTGAGTTGCCTTAGGTTGATTAGCAGTGGGTGATCAGGAACGTCCATCAACCTAACTACTCCCCCGAACACAAGCCCACTGCAACACACGTAGGCTACACCCTCCCCCAACAGGACTATTTTGTGCTGAACTTTCAGAGGCTGAAAAAAAGCTTAGAGCACAGAATAGGAAACAATACACTTTTGCATGCACCGGTGAACTGTGGTGGATTCGGTTGCAGGACTGTGCCTCCCAACAGACAGTCATATGAGGCTTCTATGAGATCAGGTTTAAATTTATTCTGCAATTGAGGGAGATTTGTTCCAGCGGTGTCACCCAAAACATTCACTGACATTCTCATACTGACCATACGCAGTGCCTTTATATCAGTTTAGGGGATGTAGCCGACTGAATTCAGACTGAAAGTGAAATAAATCCATAAAACCGTCACCTGAGCGAGCTAGACTTCTCTAAAGGACTGCTCACATACGGATTATAAACTGCTGCGCTTCGTCAGTCATGACACTGATGAAGATGAAGCAATCCTACCTCCTTCTGGCTATGTGCTCATGCACTGGGAGGGTGAAATGACCCTACATACGTCCAAAAAGAGCAAAACTGCTTGTCTAATTTGTGAATTCAGCTAAGGTGCGCCCGTTGTTGATGTGTTTAATTCGGTTTATTCTCCACAGAAATGTTTTGACCAATAGAACTGGTCGCTCAGAGCAGCTGCACACGAGCCTAAGGTCACCATGCCCAACGTCCAGCTAGAGCAGGGTTTCTCAACCACTGGGCCACAGACTACAAAGTGGTCAGGGTCCATATTGGGCTGATGATCAGTTTATCATGAAAATCAGTGAAAGAATAATTGATTTTACGATAAAAGGTGAACAATATTAATACAAGCCTAAAACATCGGCACACACAGGCAGCTTTGTCCATTTTCTAGAAATAAAATGCCCTTTTATGCATTTTAGCCGTCGCCATGTTGTAGAATCATTGTGCTTAACTCGTCACCATTCTGCCTGATTTCTAGTATAAAACAAGCTTATGTTAGCTTAATTTGTTGATATTTTGGCCCAGTCCCATTTCTTATTTTTTTCCCACCCCCTTGTTTTCGAGGTTGAAATCTTCCCCTATGAAACGGGACCCTCAAAATAAAAGAGCATCACTTCATTAACAGCTACTAGCGCTGCTCTGTAGGTGACCCTGCCAGTCTGCAGTGATAGCAGAGGAGGGTAAAGTTCAGCTCCTCACTGCTGGGCTTTAGTTACATTTAGGGCACCATATGCCTTCAAAGAGGGGGGCAATTATTTATTATCGCCCACCCCTAATTCTTTGGTGATATGAAGCTGAAGTCAGATATTCACCAGCTTAGTGTTCGAATTTTCCTGTTCCACCTTAAACGGAGAAGCAGTTCTGACGCCTGAGGCACTAGAATGTAACTGCTGCACCATTTAAGGTGGAACGGGAAATTAGCTAGCTAGCTACCAAGACATCAGGATACTACTAGCGATTTTATGATCGTTACGAAGAAAAGGATCATAATACACTGAAACGACATTAAATTAAGACAAAACAATGGCTATCATAATTTTTAATGGAGAAAATTCTCACATTTATGTGTTTCTTTGGTCTCTTGTGCTCCATCTAGCCTCCGTTTGGAGGGTCATGTAGCCCTAGCACTTCGCCCTACCCCTCTATCTCAACAAGAATCAGGACACCCTAATCCTAGACGTGAACATGCAAAACCGAGGGGTAAGGGCTCAGTGGTAGGGGCAAGGGGTGAAATGGGATTGGGCCTTTATGTTTACCGATACATGTTATATACTGCAGGGTAGGTACCCAAAGACAGCAGTGTTGAAAATTCCCCCAAAATTAAAAATTTAAAGCAAAAAAAAGCTTAGCTTTTGTTTTCCTGTGAACCTTCATGCTTTCTCCCTATACAAAAGCTTTCTCCCCCACAAAGTGTCACGACATTTTTTTCTAACGTCCAATAACTTCATGCAGACAAAGCTGTGCCATATTTTAAAAATACTAACAAAAACTATGAATCAAATTCAACATTTCACACACTGTGCTGCACAAAATCCAATTAGAACAACTCATACTCTCTTTTTAATCAAACATGGGAGGAGTTGGGAGGAGTTTTTTAAGTACTGATATACACAATATGCTAAGAAAAGCATATTGTGATGAAAGATATCACAATTAGTATTGTCATATTGCCCAGTTCTAGTTAGTGGGCTATAAACCCCCCCCCCCACCATCATTGGACTGCAAAGCAGAAGAGCTGCATTCTCTGTGATGGCCCTCCATCCAGTACCTTTGGGCTGAGGCGGAGTGGACCTATGGCTGAATGCTGTCAACCCCTTACAGCTATGTTTAGTGTAAAGCCTTCCCAGAACAGTAGAGGCTGTTACAACAGGAAAGGAGGATAAACTCCCTATTAAAACCCTTCATTTCAGAAGAAACGAGGAGGTGTCTACAAACTTTTGGACAGTGTAAATATGGGTCGGTGTGAAGGCAGATCACACAACAGAAAAGAAATGAGCCAGTCAGTTGAGTCACAAGCCTCTTCCAGAGCAACAGGAACACAACAAGGCAGCACACAGAGCGCTGATCAACTCTTTAAACAGGAGACCTGCACACTGTAATATGCAGAAGTGAAAGTGTTATAAAAAGTCAATAGAAATTATTACAATTGATAGTACGTGTCTATGCCCTTCTGAATAATAAAATACATGAATAAAACTTATTTAAAAAAAAAACAACTTATTTTCACACTGAGGAAAATATTCTGCTTTGCTGGATATCAAAGTTTTAGCACTCAGCATGCAATATGACAAAAAAAAAAAAAATATGGCTACCTAACGCTAATCATACAGCTGGGCGATACGACAACGTATATCGTCATCATGATAAATTACATCACAATATGCTTTTTCTGAGCATATCGTGGCTACGCAACAATTTCATCTGACACTTTCTGGAAAGGTACTTCAGCTGACAACTATTTTCAAAGCCTGTATAGGCAAATATAATAAGAAAATAGCAGGTGCAAAGCAAATTTTCATGATCAATGATCAAAAAATGGCCAAATTCATAACGATATCAAAATTCTGCTAGGATTACCTGACCTATCTGAGTAGCCTAGCACTTACAAACCACTTAGCGAATAGTATTTTTAAAACGTGGGCAGAACAGTTACTTCGTCTGTTTTGACTATCGTGACACATCACGTATCATAAAACACTTCCTGAAATATCGTGATATTACATTTTGCCTTGTCACTCACCTCTAGCTCAATAATAAATATCAGAATAAAACCACAAACCAAATTATTTCTGGAAAGGTACTTGAGCTGACAACAATTTCAAAGTCGGTACAAAGAAAATAGCAGATGCGAAGTCAATTTTTGCTCAGAAAAGGGCCAAATTCATAAAGATATCAAAATTGTTAGCATTCACCGGCCAAATAATGACCCATCTGAGTAGCCTAGGGTCTCTTGAATATAACAACATGTGGCGTGTGTGGCTGTCTCATACGAATACTTTGTAATTGTAATTGCAATTGATCAATACAATTATGCAAAACTGCCTTATGGCTGTAAGTGTTAATATAAAGTATAATCAGAACAGTTTGCAGAAAATGAGAGATATGAAAGGCTGTACAGAACATGCCTGCTCTGACAGACTGTTCCAAGAGGGGAGCAGCACATAACAGAGGCTCTGCATGCTCTGCAGGTCCATTTATAAACAGATAGTCCAGTTCCACTATATGACTGTATCTCTATTCGAGCCATTTGCAAAGCAAACAACCAGCCCTTTGCAAGCCATGCAAAATGTATGCCATCAAAATGGAGCTCATGTGCCTTGGTGGTCACTGTTATTGCATCCAGCACCGTAGAAAGCACAGAAAATGTCTTTGTTTGAAGGTTTCCAGGTAAGAGCATCGATAAGGGGCAATAAGGGAGGGTTTAAGTACAGTTTAGGAGATGGACCCACAATTAGAGGCTCTTCATTATCTTCTTTATTATGGTGTCCATCAGTCTCTAGGTCACATACACACTACAGCAACACTGCAAGCACGCAGTAGCAACTTCCTGGCGTTCACAACATTCAAGAGCTGCCCGCTTTGAGGCGAATATGCGAATTTTACAACGTCAAAACTAAGGTTGTTAACTATCCTGGTGGACAGTGTTCAGGCTGGCTCCCTCCTCCCTCGCCATGCTGACACAAGACAACAAAAAGAAAGAAGATGCCCCTTCAGGAGACACTGACGAGGAGGCTACTACACCACCACAGACCACAGACACAGATTGCTGTTCCTCCAAGAAAAAACACGAGGCTGAAGTTGGCTTCCTTTTCGAATTTCTCCGTTCCACCTTAAATGGTGCAGCAGTTACGTTCTGGCACCTCACGCGGCACAATGTAACTGCTGCACCATTTAAGGTGGAACGGAGAAATTCGAACAAGAAGCTGGCGAATGAACCCTTGTAAGAAAAACAACACCAGCCCTACCACACGTGTTTATAACGGACAAAAGAGAAGTCAAAAAAGCCGTTTTACCTCGTCGTGTTTTCAATAAAAGCGATATGGTTCATTTTCCTCGCCGGTGAAGCCTCAGTCGGCGTCTCGCGGCAGCCGTGCCGAGTTCAATGTGATCTGATAGTAACGAGCAGTTGACAGTGGCCGCTAAGCCCCGCCCACCTCAGCCTCTCATTGGCTCTCGCTTTCTCGTCGCTGCATCGTCACCGGAGAAACGCAGTGTAAGCATGGTAACCGTTTGGAGGCGTGTGCCCGAGAGCGACACGGCAGCCAATCAAATCTCAGCTGAGTATCTAAGGGCAACGCCCACCTGTTAGAAAACGTCGCTATTGGGTGAAATCCAGATCAGTCCCCAAACGGGCATGAAAAAAGGCGGGAATTGCCGAATTCGATTATGATAATTTATGCAAATGTATTCGTAAATATTCATCAATCCCCTCCTACTGCTCTCGGTGGCTCCCCTAATTATCATAGAGGTAACGGACTGGATTATTATGCAAAACAGAAAAATGTGACCTGTGAATATAAAGTATAATAGGATGTCAGGATGTTATGAATTAATCATGAAATTAAAATAAAAAATAAATTAAAATCGACCTTAAGCAGGTTATCACAGAGATAACTAATAAGCCTAATAAAAATGCTTGTGATTTTTAACATTTAATCTGTGCCACAAAACAGATTTCAGCACACACAAGAACAGAATTGATAGAATTTATTTACACTTATTAATACAACAGATTCAACAGCCTGATGTCAATCTTTTAGGTCTTTTTTTTTTAAAATAAACCCTAAAATGAGGGTTCAGTTCATATTCAGCCATCAGAAACCCTCCAGCTGTACTAGGAACCTGTTGGCTTGTTTACAGCCAAACACTACCTTAAAGCAATAGGTCAGCAAATGGCTACAAGCTATATTATTTGTCCAGAAGTTTGTAGACGCCAGCTCATCCAGCATTTCTTCTGCTTTTAATAGAGAGTTTGGTCAGTTCTGGATCACAAACTTATCCCAAAGGTAGTGGATGGAGCTCCATCACTCCAGAGAATGCAGGTCCACTGCTCCACAGCCCCATGCTGGGGGGCTTTATACCCCTCTAGCTCATGCCTGGCTTTAAACACGGTGACCTTAGGCTCATGTAAGGCTGTGCCAGAGCAAGCCACTCTATTCAATGCTTTTCTACAGAGATATGTAAGTGGGAATGCAAGTTTGGTGGACTTTGAGAGAAAAGTATTTGACAAATTTGCCCAGATAAAAGATCGTCATGCATCTTTTCTTTTCAAGCGTGTTTCCCTGCTCTGATATGTTGCTTTGGATGTTTAGCTGCAGACCACCATGATCATAAACTGCTAGATCACTAATGCGATGCTGTATAACCAGGTTTTGTAGGATCTATTGTTGTTACCATATCACTCATATTCCTGCCTCCCCTTCCACCAACTCCTGCACCGTTACGTTAATTTGTGAATTTGTGATTTCATTGATGGAGTGCGTTTGTGTCTGGATCAGGTTTGTGTGCACTTTCATTGAGGAGTCGGCTGTTGCTTCTACAGTTTTGTGTGCCCCACCAGGCTTTCTGTGACAGAGACGCCACTGAAGAGTGGACACACTAATACAGAAAAAAAATTATATCATATATTATATTTAATTACTGAGGCTTTTGTGCAATTTTCTGCTTTGGTCTTGATGCTGAAAAATGAATAACTTGCCTGTTTTGACTGGAAATTATATAAATGAAAGGCGGTCACTGACATTTTCACAGTACTGTTCATTAGCCTAGTACACGTGTGTCAGGCTCCAGTCCTCACGGGCAAAAACACTTCAGCTCGTCAGCCAGCAAGGCCTTTATGAACTGGATTCAGAGCGTTACATGAGGGTAAACACTGATCTCCACAATATTTTGGTCTTAGAAGGTCCCCAGTTCGACATGCCTGGCCTAGTAGCTTCAATGCAAAACTAAAAGAGTAAACTTCAGACTCCAGTCATGGGCTGGAGGTTAGAGAACTAGCCTTGTGACCGGAAGGTCGCTGGTTCGATCCCCTGAGCCGACAGTACATATCTGAAGTGCCCTTGAGCAAGACACCTAACCCCCAACTGCTCCCCGGGCGCTGTGGCTAGGGCTGCCCACTGCTCTGGGCAAGTGTGCTCACTGCCCCGTAGTGTGTGTGTTCAGTAGTGTGTATGTGGTGTTTCACTGCACGGATGGGTTAGATTGCGGATTAAAGGTCACTTAATCTAATCTTAAATGCTTCAGCCGATTGACTATTGGCGTAATGAGAAAAGAGTAAATTTGATCGCTTTCAGTCCAAAATAAGCTCAAACATGCCCTTGGAAAATACAGTCAACAACATTATTATCCAGTCTGATAATGTTCTCCAGGGTTGCTAACTCAGGGTTGTGTTCAGCTTCTGGTGTGTCAGAGGTTTGTAGAAAGGCTGAGGGTTTCCCCCTCCTGTCCTGCAGGTTTTAGGGCGTTTGTGTCCGTGCCGGCGGTGAGGTGTTCTGGGTGACTCTTGCTCCGATGCGCTGTAACGTTGTCCCTTTTCTCAAAGCGCCGGCCGCAGATCTCGCATGGGAACTGGTAGCCGCTCTCAGCGTCGTGCTTCCGCATGTGCCAGTTCAGAGAGGCCTTCTGTCGGCAGGTGAAGCCACACACTTCGCACCTGAGAGGGAGACAGGTCACAGCTGAGAATGCTGTAAATATCCTGTACATTTCGTTTATATACAGTGGATCAGGGCTGTGCGATATAATGTTTGTTAGTCGCTATTGTGATTTTGGCCTTTGTAATATCGACATTGCTGAAAGCTGAAATATGCAAATGAGCTCTGTGAATAACCACTGTGTTTCACTTTTTGCTGTGAGCAGCATGACAATCACAGCTCCAGATGATTTTCTCTGGGTGTTTTGATGAATCAAAGTATTCATGCAATCTAATAAAAGTTATTTAAGTAAAAATAATGTGAGTTTTTAACTTTACAACACTGTCGACTCACCATTTTTACTATGTTGAAAGGCGCACACAATCACAATAATACAGTACTGATCAATTTGTAGTCATTTTCTTGCTTCATATCTGCCTTAAGATCATCACTTTCGGAGTATGAGGCACTCAATTAACTCAATTAATCTCATCATTCTTAATGTTACACAGCTTTCTGAATCATCTACATGACTGTTCATCAGTCTGGACACATCTAATGTTTTATTTTCCACAGCGTCCTACTAACAGACCACTGAAGTTGTGCGGTCATTCTGTAGTCGCCTTCAAGCCCATATTAGGAAGTCCAGCCCTAAGCTGGATTTCTCAATGGCAAAAATGAATGAGCTTTTCAAAAACTGCCGCTATTGCATCCTGTGGTGAGTGAAATGGCTCTGAACCTGAACGGTTTTTACCCCACATACATTTTCCCTCTGAAGGTCTGGATCTTCTGAATTCTGCAGCCACTACAGAGTCAAAATATGAACTCTACATGTGAGTTAACACTGCTTACTGACATCATAAGACTGGCAACCTCAACAAAATGCACCAAACAAACTAGCAGTCTTTGTTAAAAGTGGTAGTGAAGCTGCTTTGGCAGTATTAGAGCACATTTAGAGTAGCTGGAGTTATTATATAACCTTTATGTCACGTAATTTCAGCGTGGAACAGTGATAGTTTGCTATTAGTAAGGATGTTGCAATGGTCATATTTCAACTCCACTGATTATGTAAATGTTCATAATGTAATCCCTGAGATGTTAAATCATTCCGAGTGGTTTGATGTGAAACATAGAGAAACTTATCGCCTGATTTCTTTACAGTGGTGGTGATAGGAACCAGAGGTCACAATGTCCACAATACAAATATAGCCATTTTATGTACAATACAAAACCACCAGTTAACCTACATGTGTCTGCTGAGTTTTACTGATAATGGTAAAATAGTGGCAATTCTGAAAAAAAAACTTTTTTGGCACTATTTTTTCTTACAACGCCCTGCACATGGCATGATAAGATTAAGAAAAATATATTTCAGCCAAAAAGCTCATGTCCAAACTATCCCAAGACAACACCTCAGACTTCAGATGGCATATTCATTACCATTTTATTTAATATCTTAATGTGAGGGATCTTTAAGAGGTGTTAAATGCTTCAGACGTCTGGCTCCTCTCACCACAAATGTGAACAATTCTGACACTAAGTTTCTCCAGAATGGAGCATTTAACACCAAACCACTCTGAATGACTTTGTTTGCATCTTCTGAAATCATAATTCAGAGGGTACAATAATATTCAGTACAAAATTCTACCAGGTTTGGAACCTTTTGTGCACAACTCAAAAATCCTTTCAATTTTTGTTATAGAGAAATCCAGAATTTTTTAATATGGGCATGACGCCAACTTCAGAATGACATATGACTTAATAGAAGTCTATTAGTTGGTCACTATAGAGTTATAAAGCAGTAGCACCGTATTACAATCAGTTCATACATGTACCTGAAATAAAACTGGTTTTATATTATTGAAAACAGGGATATCAAACCTTTGGATGGTAGTGCAGCTGAAGTTCATTGTGTATAAAAACAATAAATCACAAATGACCAACATTGTCCATGAAGGGCCCAGTGAAGAGGCTCCTCGCTGTAGCAACTAGATAAAGGGTCTCTTACTGCAGCGGTTTCTCCCCTGTGTGGATCCTGCGGTGGATGCTCAGGTTGCTGCTGGTTCGAAATGCGCGAGCGCAGAACTCACAGATGTAATCCTTCTGATCTAACAGAGATAAACACATAAATAACACATCACTCACCTCATCAACACAGACCATCTGTCACTGATCTGTCACTACAGGCAGCTCGAATTAGAGAGAGTCTGATTTATTCATCCGGTTCCTCTCGTTTCCACTTCAGGACGCAGAATGAAGATCGAAGAACGCCGGGCCACAAATGCTGAGATGATGTGCAGATGATGTGTGATTATTCTGATACTTTAGAATGTTCTCCCCCCCACTCACACTGTTCTAGAACACCCTCCCTCTTCACACGGTTCCAGAGTGATTTACTCCATGCTCACTGTTCTAAGCCCTTCCAGGTATTCCCACACTGCTCTGAAACACTCTCCTCACTAACATGGTTCTAAAAGGATCCCTCCTATTTGCGCTGCTCTAGAATGCTCCCTTCACACTGTTCTATAATACTCTCCTCCCTTTCACACTGTTCTAGAATGTTCTCCTTCCCTTTGCACGTTTCTAGAATATCTTCCCTCATGCACACTGTTCTAGAGTGACTTCACCCATTCACACTGTTCTAGAGTGACTTCACCCATTCACACTGTTCTACAATGATCCCCACCCATTCACACTGTTCTAGAATCCTATCCCCCATTCACACGGCTCTAAAAAGATCTGGGCAGAACACAGGCAGAACATTTGCACTGCTCTGCGTATTCACACTGTTTTCAATGTTCTCCACCACTTCACACTGTTCTAGAAAGGTCTCGTTCCCTTTGCACTGTTCTGGAATGCTTTCACCCATTCATGTTGTTCTAGAACAATCCCCATCTGAGCACTAGAATTCAACTCCAACACTGTTCATGAATGTCCTCCCTTTCATGATGTTCTAGAGTCCTTTCACTGTTCCAGAATGACCCTTGCATTCACACTGTCCTAGAACATTCTCTCCCACTAATACTGTTCTAGAATGCTCTCTCCCACTAACACTGTTCTAGAGTGCTCTCCTTTCACAGCGTTCTAGGATGTTCTCCCCTTTTCACTAGTTTATTTGGTTTATCAGTTGTTTTTCTAAACACTCTAAAGTCATCTGTTAGTATAAAACAGCTGGGGTTTGTTGGAGAATGCTGGAGAACATTTTCCCTATTTGCATTGTTCTAAAGTGTTTTTACCAATTCACATTGTTCTACAATGATCCCCACTCATTCACATTGTTCTAGAATGATCCACACTCATTCACATTGTTCTACAATGATCCACACTCATTTACATTGTTCTAGAATGATCCACACTCATTCACATTGTTCTAGAATGATCCACACTTATTCACATTGTTCTACAATGATCCACACTCATTCACATTGTTCTAGAATGTTATCCCTCATTCACAGTTTGTTGGAGACAGTTGGTGTTTGTTGGAGAACGCTGGAGAATGCAGTGACCCCTCCTTTTGCGCTGTTCGAGAACCCCTTCACGTTTCTGAAAAAGTGTCTAAAAAGTCTCTGCCTAATTCATTCTTTTCTAATGTTCTCCAGCTCGTCACACTGCTCTAGACAATTCTCCCTCCCTTTCACACCGTTCTTTTCTCCTATTCACATGGTTCTAGAATTTTCTCTTCCAACTCACACTGTTCTTGAATGTCTTCCCCTTTACTATATTCTAGAGTGTTTATGCCCATTTACACTGTACTTAAATGACCCTTGCATTTACACTGTTCTGGAATGACAGCATTCATATTGTGCTAGACTGTCACTCCCATTAACAGCGTTCTAGATTGGCCTTTTACACTGCTCTAGAAAGATCTAGATTGTTCTCTCCATTTCATACGGTTTCAGAATGTTTCCCCATTCACACAGTTCTATAATGTCTTCCCCCTTTTCACACTGTTATAGAATGTTCTCTCCCTCTAATGCTGTTCTAGAGAATGCTCTCCATTCACAGTGTTCTAGAATGTTCTCCCGTTCACTGGTTTATTTGGTTTGTCGGTTCTATTTCTAAACATTCTAACATCAGCTGTTAGTATTAGACAGTTATTAGACAGTTAGTTTTTGGTGGAGAACGTTGGAGAATGTTTTCCCCCATTCACACTATTCTAGAGTGTTTTCACCCATTTACGTTGTTCTAGAACGATCCCTACCCAATCGCACTGTTCTAGAATGTTATCCCTCATTCACAGTTTGTTAGAGACAGTTAGTTTTTGTTGGAGAACGTTGGAGAATGTTTTCCCCCATTCACACTATTCTAGAGTGTTTTCACCCATTTACGTTGTTCTAGAACGATCCCCGCCCAATCGCACTGTTCTAGAATGATATCCCCATCCACTGCTGGAGACAGCTGGTGTTTGTTGGAGAACACTGGAGAATGTTTTCCCCACTCAAATAGTCCTAGAGTGTTTTCACCCATGAACACTGTTCTACAATGATTCCCACCCACTCACACTGTTCTAGAACGTTACCCCCATTCGGTTTGTTGGAGAACATTGGAGAATGTTTTCCCCCATCGCAATGGCCTTAAGCTGTTCCTCCATGACACACATCCAGTCTGCTAAGGGTTCCACTGACCTCTCCCTTCATGTCGGAATCATGCACCCCATGATTCCTCTGCTCAACGTGCTGGTGAAACCGAACTGAATCATCACGGCAAAAACGAACAGCGCGTGTCTGATTACTCACCGCTGTGCAGCTTCTCGTGCTCTTTGAGGTGCTTCTTAAAGTTGAACGATTTTCCGCAGGAGGGATGTGAGCAGGTAAAGGTCTTCTGCTGAAAGTGCTGGTACTTCATGTGGTGCTGAAGAGAGAGACGAGTAAGAAGACGCACAGTGAGCTGCAGTACTTGTGGTTAATACGCTGTCCTGCTGCACAGATTAAGCACATACAGAAGTAAAGCAGGGCTTTTTAGTAAACACAGAGGCCTGTAGTTAATACTGTACGTCTGTTCATGATCCAACACGTGATCTTAGACCTGCAGATCCTGGCCTTCTGTTACTGTCAGTGAAAGTGGAGAGTCCCCCTTCTGTTATTACGCTCCTAAACTGTGGAACTCATTACCTTTTCACAATCAGGCAGACAATTTCACTACATCTTTTTAGCTGAACCTTCAGTAAACATTCCAAACAATCAATTTCATTCATCTTTTTAGTTTCCTTCTATTTTTTGATTTATTTATTTTAGTCTTTTTTATATTATTAAGTTTTCTGCTTTTATTTTTTAAACTTACTAGCACTGTTAAATATATGGAAAATGCTCTATAATTAAAGCTATTATTATTTTACCATTATATTTTCTTCTTTTATCACACAGAATTGTAAATACACAGAAAAGGCACTGTTGACACGCAGATGTTTTCAAACACCACACCAGAAACAAGCTAAGTAACAAATCTCAGTGACTAACTTTCATCAAAGGCTTGTGATCATATTGTTATTATTAAGATGGAAAACAAGTCCAAATTATGCTCACGTTGAGATACTGACGACTGGAAAAGATCTTCCAGCAGCCGCTGAACTCGCAGGGTAAGATGAGTTTTGGAGCTGCTTTTCTGTAAATGCAGAGAAACAATAAGATATTTAATAAGTAATAGTCTTAAATAATAAACACATATCACAGCTACATGTGCCACTGAAAGATACGGTGAAATCTATGGCTGATTTTCTTAGACCAGCATTAATTCTACACTTAGGATTTTTCACTGGCAAATTAGCACTGATATTATAGTTTAATCTAAGACTAGGCTTAATCCATGTCCCAGAAACTGGCCTATTTTACTACACAATGCAGCAGAATCAGCAATAATAACGATAAGAGCAGAGAACAAACCTTTTTCTCTTGCTGCATATCTGTGACACATCATCTTTTACTGACTGCTGCCTAAAAGATAAAGATAAATAAATGTTAAAATAAATGTCCATAAGAACTGGATCAAAATGCTGCATCTTTAACAAGCGTCAAACCCACCTGTTCCCTTTTCGCCTCTCTGACCTCAAGTTGACCACTTTGATGTTTTCAGATGGATTTGCTCTCCTTTGTCTCCCCCTCTTGGATGTATTTGGTACTGCACTTTCTCTGAAAAACAAAAACAGTGGCACCAAACTGGGCTCCTTTCAGGCCACAGCCCTGCAGAGAACGTTTTCCCTCTTCCAACATTCAGAGTTCAACCCGTGACACTGAGTGTGTTTACAGTCACTTAATAATCCGATAACAGCAGACAATCTGATTTTGTCTGTAATCCCAACACGTTTTCATGCACTTGGATAATCAGATAATGTGAAACTCTGGGTCTACAGGAGTCAGGCAGTAATCAGATTTCTGCTTTGGAACGAGCCAATAAACTCACAGAAGAAGACGTGACGTAAACGTAATTTAAAACTCGAACTTCACGCTGCAGCTTTTCTTTATACATCGGACCTCTTTACCTGAACATATGAACAAACATCATCTAGAACATAAAGAATGTTTAAATCCTTCATTTCGTCAAGAACGTATTTGGTTTCAGCGTCGCTCCAAAAGTGTTTTGCTGTGTCTCACAGCGACGCTGCTCGCCTATTTCCGGTACCGTGGTCTGTTTTCGTACATGAGCAAACTGAGAAATCCGAAAGAAATCAGAGTAAGAGTTCACATGCACTGAGAAATCTGATTACTGAGCTAAAATCCAGCCCTCTTTATTGGATTTCTAGACATTAGTCTGATGTGAGAAATCAGAGTGTGCTGTTCACATGACCATTTGAATAATCAGATAACTGCAGAAATCTGATTACGATCAGATTATTGAGTGCATGTAAACGCACTCACTAAATTGCAGATGGGTGGAATCGGGCGTATTTAATGAGGCAGAAAGTCTACAGTGAATGTGTTTACCTGCACTCGATAATCCGATCATAATCAGATTTCTGCAGTTATCTGATTATTCAAATGGTCGTGTAAACAGCACACTCTGATTTCTTAGATCAGAATAAGGTCTAGAAATCTGATAAAGAAATCTGATAAAGAGGCTGGATTTTAGCTCAGTAATCAGATTCCTCAGTGCATGTAAACTCTTACTCGGATTTCTTTCAGATTTCTCAGTCTGTGCATGTGCAAAAACAGACGGCGGCACCGGAAATAACAACTTTTGGAGCGACACTGAAACCGACTACATGCTTGATGAAATTAAGGATTTAAATATTCTTCATCTTCTAGATGATGTTTGTTCATATTTTCAGGTGAAGTGGTTCGATGTTTAAGAAAAAAGCCACGCCATGAAGTTTTACATTACGTTTGCATCACATCTTCTTCTGTGAGTTTATTGGCTGGTCGCAAAGCAGAAATCTGATTACTGTCTGACTCACGTAGACCTGGAGTTTCACATTATCTGATTACTCAAGTGTATGTAAACGTGTTGATCGGATTACTGACAAAATCTGATTTTCTGCAGTTATCGGATTGTTAAGTGCATGTAAACAGACTCAGTGTTATAACCCAGAAAGAGCCTCAGCACTGATCCTCTTCAACATCTCCCTTCCTGCACAACCATAATTCTACCCTGCATTTACATGCCCTCACCTGTCACTAGCCAACTGTCCAGTTCAACTGAATAACTGGAATGTTGCAATAAATTATGCAAACTGGGCTGAGTTTCTATCAGCACTGGACAAGATAATAAAACTTTCTACAGTTTACTGAAAAATCTTGTTGAAAAAAAACTCTCTTTGAGGTTTTGTATAATTTTACAGCTATATTTTTCACAAAGACAAGACCCACTGGAAATGTCTGCGGCAGGCACCTTATGTTCTGTCGCTGTCTGATATATCGCTGCTGTCAGAACAAAACCTCGTATCTCCATTTTTGTCGATTTTCAGTTTTTGACATAATTTGAAAATGCCTGTTGTTCTTTCCATTGGGTGTAAATTTCATGATGAATCGACCAAAAGAAACGACCCAAAATGACGTGGAAAAAATGTCTGGTTCCATTGACTTTCATTAAAAGTAGAGTATGTTTTTTCCTTCTCCTGTAAAGTTACCATTTTGAGATGCGAGGTTTTCTTCTGACAACAGTGATAACCATTCTTTTTTTTTTTAAAGTTAAAGACGCATTTTAATTTCTTCATTAGTCTTCTGATGGTCAGGCAACAACACATGATCAGTCATCTGCATTTACATTGTTTATTTGGCAAATCTATCATTATTTATTTATTTGTTTGTTTGCTTAGTAGCCAGTAAAAAGAGTAGCCACCTCAAGTGAGCATACCATTTTTTATACTAATTTTTAGACTAAATTCAATATTACTTTATCCATTTCCATCCAGTCCTTTTTATTCGATATATCAAAATATGCATAAAAATATGTAGATTGAATCCTATCTACTAATGGATCAGATCCAGCCAATCAAATATGTCTGAGACAAACGTGGCAGATTGTTGTTGCCTCTATACCAGGAGGTAAATCTGCAGGACCAGGGTTGATGACCACTGCTCACAACATCAAAAAATAAAAGAAAATCAAGCAGAACTGTAATTGCAGAAGTAATGAGACAGAATTCAAACCTGTCCAGGCTTTCATTATCAACATTTTCACAGTCGTCAGTGTCCATCTCGTTGCTGCTAAGGGGTGCGCTGTAGGAGAAAAGACAGGAAGACCGAATCAATGTTATTACTATGAAACTTTAGTTATATTACTGATCATAACACTGTAAAACCAAAGGCGATACAGATACAGTACCAGTACTTTGGGGACAGAACAGCGAGCACTGCGTCACTTCCTGCCGGTGAACCCATACCTTGATCGGGCTGTTCTGCACCGTATTAAGATTAATGTTAAGCCTGGTAATGAAATAGCAATGGAACTTGTAATTAGTAAGAAAACTCAGGAAATCTAACAGATCTCTCATCACTGACCTGGATCTTCATCGTCTCCAGAGCAGTTTGGGACGATGCACTCTGGCCCCTCCTTCTCTTTAGATCCTACAGTGCTTTCAGTAGAGACAGACTTTGCCCCACTGCTGCTCCTCGTCCTCACACTAGATGCTGCCTCGTGATTCCTATGTCCAATTTTATTGTCTTTCGCTCCTCTCCTCCCTCGCTTTCTGATTCTCTTCTGTCCTGAGGGAGCAGCACCTCCTTGTTCTCCCACATGTCTCCCTTCACCTCCCTCTGCATCCTCCCCTTCCAACTCTGTCTGCATTGGATACCATGTGAACACATGTCCCCCTCTGCAGACATACTGCAAACACATCTGCGCCTGTATGGAGGCTTTTGCGTCAGCCTGTATGGAGGCTTTTGGGTCAGCCTGCATGGAGGAGTCAGCCTGCATGAAGGCTTTTGGGTCAGTCTGTATGGAGGCTTTAGGGTCAGCCTGTATGGAGGTATTAGGGTCAGTCTGTATGGAGGTATTAGGGACAGCCTGTATGGAGGCTTTAGGGTCAGCCTGTATGGAGGCTTTTAGGTCAGCCTGTATGGAGGCCCTAGGGTCAGCCTGTACGAAGGCATTAGGGTCAGCCTGTATGGAGGAGTCAGCCTGTAAGGGGGCTTTTGGGTCAGCCTGTATGGAGGCTTTAGAGACAGCCTTTATGGAGTCGTTATGGCCTGCCTGAAGGGAGCCTTTAGGCTCAGCCTGTATAGAGATATTACAGTCTGCCTGTATGGAGTTGTCGTCACCTGCCTGTATAGAGTCATTACGCCCTGTCTCTAAGGAAGCTTTAGGGTCAGCCTGCATGGAGGCTTTAGGGTCAGCCTGTTTGGTGATATTAAGATCCGTCTGTATGACAGCTTTGGGATCTGCCTGTGTGGAGTCTTTACGGCTTTCCTCTGAGGAGGCTTTAGAGTCCGCCTGTATGGAGCCTTTAGGGTCTGTCTGTATGGAAGCTGTGGGGTCTCCTCCAGGCTGCAGGCTCGGCGGCAATGGGCACTGCTGACTGTGGCTGTGGACCAGCAGCACCAGCTGTTGGATAGAAGCTGCTGTGGTGAAAAACGCCACTGGGGTGACTCCCTTTCCCTCACCTAAAGAAGACAGAGATGTGTTAATAAACAAGTTTTCATTCAATCCAAGCAAAATCAACAAAAGCCTCCAGACTTGCCTAATACTTTATGAAAATAATGTCATTGCATCCAACAGGATTTTCATTATTTCTGAAATATAGGTAGCATAAAAAGTAAAACAAGAGCTATAAAAATTAAAAATAAAAATAATTACTGTTGAATTATTGTGGCTAGATGCACCAGACATTCAGGAATTATTGTTTGCTAGATGGGGAGGGAGAAGTCTAGCCATTCACTCACAACAGCATAAACTGAAACTTAGCTTTTGTATCTGTCTAAAGGTTTTAAAGGCATTGCATGTTGAAGGTAAAGGCCCAAAGTGCATATAGGTGTCAATATGAAATCATGAAAAACATGATGATCAATCTGCCCTCGAATAAGGCACTTCCTAAATTGCACCAGTCTGTTCTTGCAGTTAATCAACCTTTTGAAAATATCAGATGTGCATTTCAATATAGATCCAAAACCTTCCGAAAATACAATATCAAAGCAAATTAAATGCTAAATTCTTCTAGTAAATTTCAATTGCAAAGCCTGGTGTAACTAACATTTTAACCAGGCATGGGTGAGAGCGCCACAGCACTGCACAGGTTTAGTGTTTTCCCTCCTCTAATATATCTAAATCAACCTATTAAGACTTATTAATGAGGTATATCACTTTATACGGGTTTTAAACTCCACAGTGCTGAACCCTGCAGGTGGGAATCATTAGTCTTCACTATGTAGCTCATAATGCTGCATATGTATTAATACAGGACAAGACAAAACCACACATACAGTACCTGAACACCTGCTGCACACTTTGGAGAAGTAGCTGTTGGAAGAGAAGTAGTGTGGACGCATCAGTTAAACCTGTTACTCTCACAATGATTAATACTTTCATGTTTTGGTCACGGGGGCGGGGGGACTACACAGTGAGGGTGACAAAAACAGCACAGAATAAAGGTCACTGCAAGATCACACAGCAAGGACGTGACTGTTCAACAGCGATTTTTAATCACTGGGATGGAATCGCTGTCACAGCAAAACAAAACCTTTTCACTGTGTAAACATAACGAATGGCCCAAACAGAACCATCTCAATCATTTTCCAAAATTCCTGCATGATTAAACGGTTAAGATGTACACAGAGTCGTTCAGAGTGGTTTGATGTGGAATCCTTCGTTCTCGAGAAACTTAGAGCCAGAATTGTTCACAGTGGCGGTGATAGGAACCGGACGTCCACCTCTAAAAGCTCCCTCACCATAAGTTATTACATGAAATGGTTATGAATATGCTGACTGATGCATATACTGAGATATAGTTTTATGATAGTTTTGGGAAAGTTTTGGCTTAAACATGTTTAAATCATTTAAATTTATGGCGAGGAGGTACACGCAGGGCGTCGTGCAGCAAAATAGTCTTCAAAGAAAACTTCAGACTTTCAAACTTTCCACTATTTTACCATCATCAACATCACATATAAACACTCAGAAGACAGTGTGTAGGTTCTCTGGTGGTCTTGGATGATAAATAAAATGACTGTATTTATGTTGCAAACATCACAATGCCTGGTTCCCATTACCACCACTGTAAAGACATCCAAGTGGGTTACATTTCTCTACAATAAACCATTTCACATCAAACCACTCTGAATGAGTTTATTTACATCTCAACGATTGAATTATGCAGATTTTTTTTAAAAAAATGGTGGAATTCCCCTCTAAATATTACAAATGATTCACTCAAAAGTTTTTTAGATGAGTTATTCAGTATTTGAATAGTTCTGTGAATAACAAGACAACAAACGATGAGTATAAAGTAAATATCTATTTAAAGTCTTCTTGTCAAGTTATTTGTCATTTTGTTACTTTATTTGTAGATTTGTTACTTAATCGGATATTTTATATAGAATAATACCTTCTATAATGTAGATTTAATTATTACAAACTAGACACCAACAGGTCTTTTTACATGTTTAATTCAATCCGTATCTTGGGAACAACAAGATGTTATTAAATGATAAATAATATTCTGTAACTATCTATTTACATTATTTTTTACCAGGTCATCTGCCTCAAGGTTCCATCACTATTTTTGAAAAATGAAGCCTTCATTGATGTTATACAGCTTTTTCAGTTTTAAACTGCCCTGTGATGCTGAACTGGCTGAGCATACTGGAATCATATTGGCGCTTTAGGGCAATACTGGGTACATCTGCCATTTTGTCTCTTAGTGTCCGAATCGTAGCATGAAAAGACTGTAACGCTGTTCATCAAACAGCAAAAAGACTGAGAGGTAACTGTGGGCTACCGCAGTCCTGGAGCAATTAAATGTGCACTGTGGTCAGGTTTAGCTCTTTTTCCTCACACCCATGTCCTAAGAATAGGAAGCCAGCTTCAGCCCAGTAACCACTCATACGGTCTATATACGTGACTAGTGAGCAGTGAACACAGGTTGATGATGAGAAAGTGTCTGAATTCATGCAATGATTCATGCGTTCTAACCACTACTTAGTAAATAGTTCAGCCCTAATAAGGACCATTCTACCAAATTAAAAACCATTAAAAAAAAAAAAAACTATGAAGTATTCAGAGCTTAGATATTTACAAGGATTATTTTATGATCTATTCAAAACCAAGGCATTAACTGAAACAGAGGAATAAGCTTATTATACATGAAATCATTTATTTATAGGGCACTTTCTGTTGGGCGGAGTTAATAACAAAACCTAACCCGTAAATTTACAGTTGCGAAAATGATATTTTTTGAGTGAATTTGAAAGATTTATATCTATCATGATGTTCATTTTTTATACAAAAAAACACTTCAAAAAATGCTGTCTCATGTTTTCATGTCACTACCAAAACACAAAAAGTTTGTCAGTGGGCGGAGCCTTATTTTAGCCACGCCCCTGCATTTTAGAGCAGGAAGTGAGACTGCATCCCTGTCCCCTCACGGCCACATGGTGAGCAGTTAGATCCCATTGTTTTGAAGTAAATGTGTCCCAAAGACTGAAAATCAGTGTGGAACACTAAGAATTGTCACTACCGAAACAGGTTTTTTGTAATTAAGTAAACTATTTTGTGTTTTAATGAATAATATTATGATATTATGCGTGCAAACTGTTCAAAGCTGTGTTCGCTACTCATATACTGGCTACTGTTTTTGAGTTCGGCTCAAAATGAGCTAAAATTGTAACTACCAAAACCTCCAAATCCATTAAAAGTCTAAAGCCATCGGTTTAAAAATTTTGACCAGTAGTGTATCTAAACCTCTCGGTCAGAGCCAGTACTGAGGTGTAGAACAGCACTATACCTGTCCAGCAGATACTGTGCGAGCTCAGAGTGGAGAGAGAAGCCCAGGGCCTCCTTCAGCTGCCCCCAGCTCTCCAGACACGAGCCGAGCCGTATCCGAGATTTGCTCCTCCTGGCGTCCAGCTCCCTCCGCCTCTGCCTGCGCAGAGCATCTGTAGCAGACGCCATAGCAGGGGGGGCAACAAATGCTCCAAGTTTGGTCCAAAAGTGCTGCAGGAGAAACAGAAATGAAAGAGATACAGGTTGATAAGATAAATGCTTTGAGGGCTGTGAGGCTATGAAGCTGTGGGGAAACTGAACATATGGTATCTCTAATTTTGTCCACGCAAGACATTTCAGATTACAGCCACTTAACTATAAGACCACAGTAACATCACATTGTGTTACAGTGCTCTAAGAATAAAATACTTCTGCTGGTACTCAAACCTGAATCACAGCTTTAAAGGAGAATTCTACCGAGTTTGCTACATTTGAACACAATTCAATGGTTGAGATGTAAACAAACTCATTCAGAGCGGTTTGAAATGGTGAAATGGTTCATTTTAGAGACTCAGATGTCTTTACAGTGGTGGTGATAGGAACCAGGGGTCACCATCTCTACAACACAAATATAGCCATTTTATTTACTGTCCCAAACCACCAGTGAACCAACACGAGTCTTCTGAGTTTTATATGTGATGCTGATGACGGTACAATAGTGGTGAATTCATGAAAATAAGTATTCTTTGTTTACCATTTTTCTTTATGACACCCTACATGCATCTGAAAAATACATTTTAGGCCACAAGCTTATTGTAAAGCTATTATACAACAATGTCTCAAGCATCAGGCAGCGTATTCATAACCATTTCACATGATAACGTTATTTGGGAATTAGAGGTGGGCGATATGGCAAAAATGTAATATCACAATACTGCAAGAAGTTTTCACAATACACAACATGTCATGCTATTTATTTATTCAGATAAATTGGAACAGACTTTTGGAAGAGGACCACTTAGAGGACTCCCAGAATGCCACGCGCCTCTCTACAGCCACTATCTAGTTTGAATATAAAGCGCTATAAGTTGTTTTTGTTTTAACTGGAAGTGTTTACCATCGTCGTGTTACGTTTGCCTTTTGATGACCTGTCCCTCATTTCCCTCTGTGAGTTAGTTCTCCCTCTCTGCTGTCTCAATAAAGAGCATTTTCCTCTTGTGAAAAATGCAGACTCCAGCTCGTCTTCTGTGCTGATGCTACGCTGGTGTCAGAAGTGGGATAGAGCTGCTGCACTTGAAGTCGAACAGCCTATCAACGAACTCGAAGGCAGACAACAAAGAAGACATGGACTGGTGGAAGGGGATACCAAGCGCTATTTTTAAGCACTGATGAAATCCATGATATGCTCAGAAAAGCATATTGTGACATATTTAGGTGTAATTTATCACAAAAAAATGTATTGTCATATTGCCCAGCCCCAGTAGGAATTAAACACTTAACATATCGTTATGGGCTTATTGATCTATTATGCAAACATTTAGAAAAATCACTGGAATTCCCATTTAAAGTGCTTCACTGACATTTCTAATAACTTGTGATACCAGTTCTTGTCCATATCATCAAGCCTGGTGTGGACCACCACTGCACTGGATGATGGGCAGTCAGCTTTGAGGTTTGTAGACACAGAATAAGCAAATACTATAGTCTATGTGAGCAGTGGTCTAAAGCAGTCACATGAGCAGCCTGTGAATCCCTAAAACCCCATTCAAATGAGCGGAGCTATAATGTTCATATTTGGTCTCTGTTGGTTCACAGCAATAACCCAAAACGACAAATGAGTCATGAAGCATCTGAATCGGCACAAGGTCATACAAATCAACTATCAGCGGAAATGACTGTAAAACCTCGTGTCAGATTAACCAACGAAAGTCTGTACCAGGTCACCAGGTCACTAGCTCATCCAGTGTGCCGAGTGCTGACTGCGGGCCCCACCGCCGCCGTCCTGCTGTTGCCCTTTTAAGGGGTCGTCGCTGCTCCGGTTGAATCACTTTCACTCGACTGCAAACAAAAATGAATGAAAAGCTTCGAATTCGATTCCGCTGGTTTAACACGAAGCAACAACAGAGATAAAAATAGTATTTAATTCATATCTTCGTCTGAAGCTCCTCAAATTGACCACTGCAAAGCGCAGTAGAGTAGGAAGTGTGCACTGCATACCCAGCAATCCTCATGGTGACAGCAAGGCTTCATGGGAAATGTAGTTCTGTAGCGTTTTGACGCTATAACTTTTTTTCTAATAGGTTTGTTATTATTGTTGTTGTTGTTATTGTTGTTGTTGGTGGTGGTGTTATGATGTTGTTGTAGTCTATTATACTTTTTAAATTTTTTCATGCCATACAGATGTGAAAACAATGGAAGGCTGATTAGCTGAGCCTTATCATCTAGTGTTGATGAACGTTTGCAGCCTTCATTAAGTTTCATTCATTAAAACTTTATTGTCTCCTGTAGAAAACCTGGATTAGAGCCTGCATAACATATTTATATATGCACAAAATATGACAAATAACATGACCACAACAACAACAACAACAACAACAACAATAATAATAATAATAATAATAATAATAATAATATATTATTATTATTATTATTATTATTATTATTATTATATACGCAAGGGTTGTGGGGGGATTTGTGTTGCTGGAGCCTATCCCAGCTGTCATTGGGCAGAAGGCAGGATACACCCTGGACAGGTCACCAGTCCATCGCAGGGCAGACAGACAGACATACACATTCACACACACAATCTTTGGACTGTGGGAGGAAACTGGAGAACCTGGAGGAAACCCACACAGACATGGGGAGAACATGCAAACTCCACACAGAAAGGACCCTGGTCAGCTGGCCTGGAATCAAACCCAGGCCCTTCTTGCTGTGAGGTGACAGCGCGACCCACTAATAATAAATAATAATAATAATAATAATAATAATAAAAGGAGTTTGCATGTTCTCCTCGTGTCTGTGTGGGTTTTCTCCGGGTACTCCGGTTTCCTCCCATAGTCCAAAAACATGCAGTCAGGCTGATTGGATGTGCTGAATTGCCCCTAGGTGTGAGTGAGTGTGTGAGTGTGTATGTCTGTCTGTCTGCCCTGCGATGGACTGGCGACCTGTCCAGGGTGTATCCTGCCTTCCGCCCAATGACAGCTGGGATAGGCTCCAGCAGCCCACCGAGACCCAGAAGGATAAGCGGTTTAGATGATGTATGTATGTATTTATAATAATAAAAACAACAACATGCAAATTTAATAGTTTTATTGCATAATGGGTGCCCTAAATCAATGGTGGACAAGAGCCAACTTCAAATAAACAGGGTGCTCCATGTTGCTCAATACAGAAGGTGCCCTGTGAAGGACTTGCTAGTCATAAATACTCAGCTGTCTAAACCACACCTATCACTTTCACAATACCACTCAGATGGCTATTGTCCTCACAGTCTGGTTATGATACCGCACAACCGCTGAAGAAAAAACAGGAACTGATACAATATAAGACCTAGAAACTTGGAGATGTCGTTCTCTGGGCAATATTAAAAACTTCTTCAGCTCACCAAGGAGCTCCTAAAGAGTCCCTTCTTACAAACCACATCCACAATAATGTAGAATTTCCAATTTTATCAATAACTGTGCCAGTGCATTTATGTTGTTCAACAAATACAGTTAATAAAAGTCTTGTAGGTGAAGTGATTTTCAAAAATCAATTTCCATATCCTTAGTCTTGCGGAGTGCAACCGATTTTTCCCAAATTCTGCATAATTAAGTGGTTAAGATGTAAACAATGTTATTCAGAGTAGCGTGGCGTCAAATGCTCTATTTTAGAGAAAACGATCAATCAGTATTATTAACAGTGGTAGTGATAGGAACCAGACGTCTGAAGAGTTTAATCCCCTTAAAAGCTCCCTCACAGGGACGTTATTACATGAGGTGGTTATGAATACACTACAAGATGTCTGAGACATTGTTTCAGACTAGTTTTGAGATTAGATTTTGGACCAAAACGTATTTTTAAAACCCATTCTTGGCAGAGAGATACAAGCAGCAAAATAGTCCCAAATGAAATCTCTTTTTTTAGAATTACCACTATTTTACCATCATCAACATTAAAAATAAAACTCATGTGTAGGTTCACTGGTGGGTTTGGATAATGAATCAAATGGCCGTATTTGCATTGTGGAATTGCGACTCCTGGTTCCTATCAGCACCACTGTGAAGAACTCCATAATGAACCATTTCTCATCAGACCACTCTTAATAACTTTGTTTAAGCAGGAAGAATGTCTGATCACATTATCTGATTTCCACCACAGTCACATGCTCGAATTCATCGTATTGTGACAAGCCGACAATGTGACACAGCAAACTGCATTATAAGCAAACGGAAAACATAGTTTTGCAATGCACTCTGTGTCACTTCTGCCCTGCAGTTGTTCCACTAATGGTCAGTTTAATTCAATTCAGTTTATTGTTCAGGGCATTTTCTAATACTGAAAAACCAAACAGCTGTCCAGATGTGCAGGTGCAGCCCCCCGAAGGAGTGTTGCCAGGGAAAACAGTGTCAGGGTAAACTCTATATGAACATGAGAAAGAATCACTGAGAAGAAGAAAGACTCTGTGAAATAAAGGGGAAGGGGAATTCCACCAATTTTTCAAAATTTCTGCATAATTAAAAAGTCAAGATGTAAACAAAGTCATTCAGGGAGGTTTGATGTGAATGCTCTGTTTTATGTCTGATTCAATGTCTGAAATATGTTGGTCTAAGTAATATATTTTTAAATATATTTACGGCAGAGAGGTACATAGGTGATGGGAACCAGACGTCCAAAGGGTTTAATGCCTCTAAAAGCTTCCTCACAGAGAGTTATTACATGAAGTGATTATGAATACGCTGCCTTATGCCTGAGATGTTATTTTACAATAGTTTATATATATGTATATATATATATATATATATATATATATATATATTTAATATATTCATGGCAAAGAGGTGATACAAGGCAAAATCCCCGAAGAAAACATTGTTTTTCAGATTTATCACCAGTTTACCATCATCCGCATTACACATACAAACTCAGAAGACACAAGTAGGTTCACTGGTGGTTTTAGTAAATAATATGGCTGTATTTGTGTTGTAGATGCCTGGATCCCTGGTTCCTATCACCAGGGGCAGATTTAGTGATGCTGGGACTGGGAATGGAGCCCCCTGGATATGCTTATTTAAATTAGTTGAGACTCCTGAGGCTCCTGAGTTATACAGCCATGTACATTGCAAATAAATAAATTAAATAATCTTAAACAAAGTCAATATAATATCTCTCAATATAATATTTTGCATTTTAAGAATAGAACAAAATTTATTTCTAGACATTTGTTCACTTAAGTACTTGTATCAAGCAAAATCATCTCACAGTACTGGGAGATAATTTGGTTTATTTTAAGAAATATGCTTTATATTCTTCACAGAAACATGCCATTCTTATTGCTGTGCCATCTGAGTGGTCAAAGGTCACAGACATCGTTTGTTGTTTTTTGGCCTTTTCCTTCTCACACAGAGATTTCTCCTGATTCACTGAGTCTGTTGACGACATTATGCGTTGTGAAATACTTAAAATTCCTTGCAATCCCTGCAAATTTTTATACTGTTGGAGGTTTTGCTGAAGCATTGTTGGCAAAGTGGGGAGCCTCGACCCAGCCTTGCTTGTAAAGGACTCAGCCTTTCCTGGATGCACCTTTTATATGCAAGCATAATCGCATCACCTGTTTAAGATGTTTTAGAACATTTCACTTCTAGTCCTAAACTGTCCCTGTCCCAACCTTTTTGGCATGTGTTGCAAATTTCGGAATGAACATATATTTACAAAAAAAAAAAAAGTTAAAAACACTACATTTCTTGTCTTTGTGCTGGTTTTGTTCAAAAACAGTGGATTTATAAATCATGGCTTTTTTCGAAACACGTTCTAAAAACATCTTAAACCGGTGATGCAGTTATGCATGCATATAAAAGGTGGATCTAGGTTTTTATTTGCATTTTCACCTACTGTCGCAACTTTTTTAGAAGTGGTTTTTGATTACCCCAACACTGGAGCTATGCGTACTAACATTACCACTAGTAAAATGTACAGTGTGCTGACCTGACCAGCGCTCTGTTCTGACTGAAAAAACAAAAAAAACTTTCTTTAATTTTCCATTTTAGCACCTAGAAAATCATACTGAAGAACCTTCTCTCCAAAATGTAGATTATCGCTTAATTGCAACTTTCATACCAGGCAGTCTTTAAGCAGTTGAGTCATGACAACATGGAATAGTCCATTATAATCCTGACCGAGGGGTGGAGCTGCACTGATGTTATCACTACAGTCACAAAGAACAGCTGCTTTTAAAGTGTTTATATATTTTGATACAGATGACTTAACATCAGCACATACAGTATATATAATTTGTATTTTCATGAGGCCCTTGGCAGCTGCCCACCTTTGTCTAGCGCAGAGGTCAGCAACATGCGGCTCTTTTACTGCCCTGTTGCGGCTCCACAGCAGAATTAGATTTGTAGGTAAAAATAAAATAATCCTCCTTTACAGTAAAATAAAGCTCTGCTGATCGTTCAACACAGTTTAACAATAAATGGTCTTAAACTCTGGAGTTAATGTAGAACTGCTAATTCACCCTTTAACCCTGAAGGGGTCAGCGCATACTGCTGGTCACCATAGCAATGCAGACAACAATATCGCCTAGGTAGTAGCTAACGGAACGGCAAAGAAAAAGATTTAATATGAACATCGATAATTTGGAGATGAATGGACTTCTTTGTGTTTATAATCACTCCAGCTGGTTTCCTGATACGTTTAATCTGCAACGAGAAACTGACAAATACTAAAAAGTCACGAGGCTATTCTACTTCTGAGGAAACGTTTCCTGATGGAGATGTGAGAAAAGCAGCTATAGCTGAGCTAAAGCTTAAAGCAGAGCAAAGTAAGTCTGCGTTTTTGTTTATGTTGTATTTTTTTATCCTATGTTAGTACATCAGCACATACTGAGACATATTTACAGCCAAGATGGTAAAATGGACATAAAATGTTGTGGCTTCCAAGGCAGTTTGATTTTTATTGAAATTATTAAATGGCTGTTATTAACATTTGTGTTACTGAACCCTGAAACAGCGCAAAGACTGCCTCTCACCACCACTGTAAAGAAATCTAGTCAGCAAGTTTCTCTACAACGAACCATTTCACACCAAACCACTCTGAATGACTTTGTTTACATCTCAACCACAGAATTATCTAGAAATATTTAGAAATTGGTGGACTTCTCCTTTAATTTAACAAAGCGTGAATTGCACAGAGCTAAACTGATGTAAAATATTGCTTTTGCTAATCTGAAACATAACTTTGGCTTTGCATCGTTTCATTTCAGGGGAATAAAATAATTGCTTGTCGCCATAAAAAGTCACTGTTAGGTTGAACGGATGAACCTATTTTCATACGATGCTGATGAAACCCCTACAGATACACAGGGGATTTGGCCAGCTTTAGCCTAAAATCGCCCAAATATTCAGGCCTAGTTCTGTTAAACAAACAAAATGCACTCATAAACATTCAGGTCTACAGAATTAACATACTGAAAAACTGAGAAGTAAATTAAATTATTAAAAGTTATCTCACTTTACAGCTCATCTCTTTACAATAATAACACTTTACATCTCCAAGATTCGGCAAGTCTGAAACAGGGAAGTGATGTAGCTGCAGTGGTGCAAAATGTGTAAGAACACAGGAAAAGGAAACTACAGTTTCTGTGGTGAGTGTAGATACCAAATCAAGCCGTACTACACCATCCTGCACGCTTCACCATGGACGAGCTCGGTAAGTGATTATGTGTTTTGCTTTATGATGTAAAATGTTGTGAAGCTGATAATAGGCTTTGGCGGCAGGAGCTTTTTTAGCTCACACTGATTTTGTGTGTGAAAGTTGTGACGAGTGGGTCAGTCGATGTCACACCTCTCAACCCTGAGCAGTGAAATTTGAAAGCGCTGATCTGATCTGTTGGCAGCACTTATACTCAAATATGACTACAATTATCAAGGAATCATGAACGGTGTCAAATTAGCTTATTAATTAGTTCAGAAACACCTTAGAAATCATTAATAAACTGTTTCAATACAATAATAAAAGAGCAAAACTGAGCTGTAATACCTGATAAAAATGAATATATACATCAAATATAACAGATACAACATATCTAATATATTAGGATATACAGGATATAACATGAATGTTTGATGAGGCTGACAGGTTTAATGCTGACTGATGAAAAAGAGAAATAAGGATCAGTAACCAGACAGATCTGCGCTTCAACAGCGTAGATGAATGTAGGATCAAATTTACCATTAACTAACTCATTTTAAATCATTCATAATCCATTTTACGGGTAGTCTTGTTCTAAAGTGATACTAAACTGTTTATATTAGCATCTGGATGTCCATTTTTTTGTGTTGAAGGTGCTGTTTAGTGGGCCAAAAAGATAAAACATTACAAAAAAGATGCTACGCTTCAAATTAGGCTTTTAAATGTGTATTTTATAACATTACGCCATGTTTTGTTACCAAAATACTTATTTTAAAATAATAATTTAATAGGTTGTACACGTAATCTGTGAAAAAAATGGCAAACAGTCCAGCAGCAGGCATGCCAGACAAAATGAATTTGAGTTTTCTTAATGATGGTAAAAATCTGTAAAATTACAGGCATTTCATTTCACAGCCTTTTACTGTAATTCAACAGTTTCACAAGATCAACTAGTTATTCTTATTATCAGACAGTATGTTACCATAATGATAACAGTACCAACCATTAAAATGAACACAAATGTCTGTAAAATAAAGCCTGATTTTGTGAACAACAGTGTTAGAATACAGTATATGTACCGTTTATTTGCATTTAAAAAAGAATTTTGACTTTTGAATTTTGCGGTCAATTTTTTTACAATGTGGTATATAAATAGGTTTATTCTCTCAGTGGGTGAGAGGGTTGGGTAACTTGGGTGGGCCAGCTTTAGCCTTTAGGTCACACTTTGGGCAGCCCCAGTGTAGAGCATGAAAAGAGCTGTTACTAACAATGGAAAAGTTGAGCATTGAAACACAGTTTCTATGAAAATGAAAGAAAATAAAAGCATTAAACATTTCTATGATGGTTCTGTTCAACAACCATCCCATCCTCTCCATTTTTTAGACTTTTTCCATTTGATATATTTGATTGTTTTCATTTCAACAACATTTCTAAACACATAGACAGTGCTGTCTTGAGAATAGCAATAACATCTGTACCGAAGGTTCCTCTATCACTGTGAATGTTCTTAGACATCATGTAGGTGGTGTGATTCAACATCAGTTTTAGGCTGGAAGTCCACTATGTGTGCCCAGGGAGAGGGGATATCGGAGTCCGCGAGCTCAATTTAGTGTCAGATCAGTAGAAGCACGGAGTGCTGGGTTCAGAGAATGGCGTCTCATTTCCTGCTGTGTTTTAATCATGAGAAAGTGAGTAATCAAAGTCCAAATTCCTAGCAACCCCCTCTTTTTGTCAGCAGTGTGTTTCTCTGTTTCACATCCGTCGCGATGGTAGCAAAGCAAAAACCAGAATCACTTCCTCATGAAGTTCTGAATATACAAACCCACAGCAGAGCCACATGCCCTCAGTTACTGTAACTGCACTTCAGCAGACAAGTATGACACAATATCATGATATCAACATTGAACTACACTGAAAAATATGAACTAGATGAATATGTTGCTAGACAAACATGACAATCTATGCAAAGCTGTGAGGAATACTTTGAAAAAATAGTGGCTCATTGATGTCTGTCTTGTTAACGCAATCAATTCTTCATATCCTAATAACAAAGTCTTGCAAGTTTGACTGTAAAAAAATGACTGGCACTGTGGTTTTCTATTACTGTTCACAAATAAAAAATAACTCACCTGTGATTGAAATGTACCTAATAGCATGTAATACCTCCACGAGCACGGATAACAGCTGCGATTAGATTTGACCTGGACTGGACAAGTTTCTGGATGTAGGCGACAGCAATGTTCAGCCACTCTTTCATAAAAGAATTGAACAGTTCGGTCAGATTTCATGGATCCTTCCCTGGCGTCTTACTCGCTGTTCCAGATAGTCCCACAGAATTTCAAGAGGATTCAAATCTGGGGATTTGTCCAGATGTGTGAATGCTCCTGAATGTTCATCATGCCAATCAGTCACATTTGCAGCCCTGTGAACATGTGAATTGTCATCTTGGACTACAGGGATGGGAATGTTATGTTCCTCAGTAAGATGATGAGCAAAAGGCAAAACCTGGTTGTCCAGCAGCTCAATGTCGGCACTGTGGCTCAAATCTACTGTCACCTCAACCAAAGAACCCATTTCTGTGTAATTTAAACACCCCCAGAACATCACAGAGCCCCTCCAGCTTGATCCACACCTTTAACGCAGTCCTCATTGAAGGCTTGCTGAGGTCTACGATGAACACAACGCTGAGCATCATTCAAATACAGGCAGAAACCAGATTCATCTGACCAGATAACACGTTTCCAGTCATGAACAGTCCAGCTGTTGTGTCTCTTCGCCCACTGTAACTGGGCAACTTTGTGAGCAGAAGTGAGCAGAGGCCTCTTGTGTGTCACTCTGCTCCACATGGTCATGGTACGCAGTTCCCTGCGGAACGTTCTTTCAGAAATTGGTTGTGGAGAACCTGCGTTGACTTCTAGAAGGAGTTCTTGCCTGGAAGCGAAGCGATTTTTATTCACAAGCTGTGAATCACGCCGGCGGTCGCTGTCCATTAGTTTCCTCTTTCGGCCACAATTATGACGAGAATTTCCTGTAGACTGGGATTTTTGCCACTGCTGGTCGACCCGTATGACCATACGTTTCGACACACCTGCAAATTCAGCTACTTCCTTCACGCTATGGCCTTTGAGACGCCCAAATGCAATCACTCCTTTTTGCCAATTATTAACATCTGCTTTGTGACCCATTTTCCCCACATCGAACGAGACATTCACTGCACTGTACCACCTTTTCTCAATCTATGAATCCCGTCGCACACCCGCAGGTATTTATAGCCTGATGATCCTTGTGCACTGAAATCTGCAGGAGCCTGAAGTTACACGCAAGGTGACTAATCTTTTGTCTGAGGAGCTTATGTATAACATCTTAGCACGTGCATGAGTCCACTAAAACACAGATACAAACCTTATCACCCATGAACACGTCCACATCTGAGGAACCTGTTCAGTTTGATCATCCCTGAAAACACCTCAACCACTTCACATTAACCTACATTGAAAGTGAATAAAGATTGTTTCTCTCCAGTAAAGTTAATATTTTGAAGATACTTGTTTTTCTTTAAACAGCGACGATATCTAAGCTTTACATCTTTACGCGTAGGCTGTGAGGTTATTTCCCTCCTCTTTGGCTGCATGTTATTTATAAATAACTGTCTGTTGCAGATATGCTCTTGGAGGAGTTGGCTCTGACTTCCACAAAAAGCTCTCCTGCACCAACCCCTCCTCAGACGCTCACCCTCAGCACCTCGGACAAAAAGGCCACAATAAATGTGCCAGCACAGGTAATACAGAAAATATATGTAATTGCACTGGATGAGTTACATTATACTGTGGTATCCTCCACGGGCCGCACTGCTGTGGGGAGCTGAGGGGTGTACCCATGCTAGGTGGCTGTCGGGGTGCACCACATTTCTGGTTTAGAGACGGACTGCTATTGTTGATGTTGCTGCTAATGCTGATGTTATCAGTGTAGCTGTGTTGCTTGGTGTAAACTGTGTCCGAGGAGGGTGGGCTTTGCAGTTAACTAGTAGTTGGAAATGTCTACCCTCCTCGAATGTTGTGTCCTCCAGCATTACACCCTCCCTGTGTGTTGTGTTGGGGTTAGTGATAGGCTGGGCAATTCTTGCTGCCTGTTGAAAGGCCTGTTTGAAAAAAAAAAAAAAAAATGTAGTAATGTTTTCTGTGAGCTGACGCTACAATATAATCACTAAGGACACTCTGATCATGAATTTGTATGGCTGACTTTTTAAAACCTAGAACTGTGAGCCACATAAACACATGAAACACACTAGTGCTAAACCGGCATTTTAAGCTCAAACATAAAAATCACTTGCCTATTTGAATAACATGAATCAAGTAAGGGCCACACTGCAAGTAAGAGGTCAACTGGCTGTTTATCACAGTGAGTTATTCATAATTATGCTAAAACATTTTGATACAGCAGCAGCGTCCACATACAGCGCAAGTGCACGTAGCTAACTCACGTTATTTACACCATAAAACTGCAAAATAGACTGGCAAAACTCATGCATTGCTGAGAAGTGAGTCTAAAAGAAGTAAGCAAGCAAGTGGAAGTATAAGGTAGACGTTTCTAATAAAGTGCACAGTAAGTCCACGTTTAATCATAACACTGTGACTCTCTCATTCTCTGTGGTCACAGAGTCAGTCCTCTGGTGTCGGCTCAGGACAGGGCGGAGCCAAAAATGTGTACAGGTAAGACTGCACCTCTCATCTTCATCCCACCAGGCTAATGTCTGATATAGTTCTGCTTCAATGTGTGTAACTGTGTGGTTGTTTTGTGTAGTAGCTGGGTTTTATTTATTTATTTATTATTGTGTCTTGTGCAATTTAACAAGCCTTGTTTCTTTTTTGTGATATCTGTGTACATTTACTGCTATATAAACTAGTGATACAGGTGCTGTATAAACTAGAAAGGGAACGTCTGTGAACGAACTTTCAGTTGGCTTGACAAAAACCAGCTAATAGCAATTCAAAATTAAAGCATTTGGAGTTTATATAGGAATTTCAGGTGGTTGCTAATGTGTTGCTAGGCCGTTGGTATCCCAGGTGGTTGCTATAATGTGTGTATATGTTTGTGGCAGTTTTTTTAATTTTAATTTTTAATTTTTTTTAATAACATTCTGCCATTAATCTGAGGTGAAAAAAATTGTTTTGGAACGAATGCTGTACAAAAACCATACATGTGGTCCAAAAAGCACAAGCATACTATTCCCATATAGGCTCTACAATCCTGAATAGTTTTGTGGTTCTAGCTTAAACACTTTGAGCTGTAAAAAAACAGTTGAATAATAAAATTAGGAACAGTAAGTGAGCTTTGTCAAATCAACCTAATTAAACGTGATGATGATGATGATAATGTTTATACCTGCAGTTTCCATAGACAGATCTAGTCTACGCATCAGTCTCTATTTACATAAAATCAACATCCATAATTACACTGAATGTCTCACTGTAGAACCTTTGGCATCAATGGTTTTCAGTAATATAAACCAATTTGTAATAATTCTAATGCAGTCATTTGTACGAAGCTGTAAGAAATGTTAGGTGCCTCCAGAGCGATGAAAAAATGATTTGTTAGATGATTCTAAAACGACTAAGAAACCTGTTTAATATCATTATAATTGAATGCTGCTGCTGTCGTATCTCCATTTTTGTTGTTTTTCAGTTTTTGACATATTTTGAAAAAGCCTGTTGCTCTTTACATTGTGTGTAAATTTCATGATGAATGGACCAAAAGAAACGGCCCAAAAAAAGTCTGGTTCCATTGACGTACATTAAAAGTAAGGTATGTTTTTTGGTTCTCCTGTAAAGTTACCATTTTGGAGATACAAGTTTTTTTTTCAACAGCAGCGATATATATTTAATAGATAAATAAAGTATTATCGATCATTTAATGACTTCTCGTTGTTTCCAAATATAGAATAAAAATTTATATTTTGTCTTTAATATTTAAATGAACATTCTATACACACAGCTTTAAAAACTACACTGATCAGCTATAACATTAAAACCACCTCCTTGTTTCTACGCTCGTTGTCCATTTTATCAGCACCACTGACCATATAGGAGCACTTTGTAGTTCTACAGTTACAGACTGTGGTCCATCTGTTTCTCTGCATACTTTGTTACGCTGTTCTTCAATGGTCAGGACCCCCACAGGACCCTCACAGAGCAGGTATTATTTGGGTGGTGGGTCCTTCTCAGCGCTGCATTAACACTAATGTGGTGGGGGGTGAGTTTTTAAACACTGTGTCCACTCACTGTCCACTCTATTAGACACTCCTACCTTGTCAGTCCACCTTGTAGATGTAAAGTCAGAGACGATAGCTCATCTGCTGCTGCACAGTTTGTGTTGGTCATCCTCTAGTCCTTCATCAGTGGTCACAGGACACTGCCCACAGGATGCTGTTGGCTGGATGTTTTTGGCTCTCAGTCCAGTAGCAACAGATGTTTAAAAGCTCCAGCAGCACTGCTGTGTATTATCCACTCAGACACACACTATCACACCACTATCCACAAGGAGTTTTACTGTTCTAGTTGATCAGTATACATTCCTTGTTTTCAGTGAGTTGCCTGCTCCAGTGGAGGCTGAAGTGATGAGTCCAGGAACGGCCAGTCGAGAGCTGGACTCCATCATGAACGAGCTGCTGGGGCTGGGGCTAGAGGTGAGTAACACAATCCTTAAGTGAACTGGATCTGCAGCCTGCTCTTTATCACTGCACTTACACTAGGGGAGCACAAGAGAGCAGCATAGGCTCACTAGTGTTCTGGACTGTGATACGGAACAATTAGAACTATAATAACAAAACATGGGAGCTGCTTTGTCTCTCAAGCACTGTGTGTAATCACTCATGTCTGTATGAGCATTTTAAACAGTCTTTATCCACTGATTGCACTAAATGAGGGGTTTTCCGTCTAGGGACCCGTTCCAGTGTTAATCAATAGGACTTAACAGAATTATTTTAGGCCTACAATCCAACTGCCCAAAAACTGTAGCAATGTTTGGATTTTAAACATAACTGTTTCCCACTGGCACAAATGATCTCCACCATTTAAAAATGAATAAAATTGCAGGCCTCGTGAATAAACAGTCATAAAGAAAGGATTTACCACCCCCTGTTAAATGATCCTGTTTTATTGATTTTGCAGCAATAGCCAAAAAACACCCAAAAAACACCCTCTATAAACTTAAATATAAGTATATTTCTCAAAGTTGTAGTGCACAATTTCTATTCATCTGTTTAGCATATTAAAAAAAACACCTAAAACATAAAACGTGCCATAACTTCTGCACAGGGCACGTTTTATTTATTTATTTATTTTTTCTCCAGTATGTTAAACCCAGCAAATAAACAGTAATTGTGCATTAAAATGTGCAGAAGTGTGACGGATGTGTGCTTTTGTCATAAAGTTGCTTTTGACCAGGGCGCCCAAACTTTTTCACAGGACTGTACATCATGGACCCTTGGGAATCATCACAGTGAGAATCATCACAGTGGGCAAATGCACCCATTGTTGTGCACATAACTAGTTGTATTCACAGTTACTTTACCTATTTAATGTTCATATGTTGTATAAAGCTCTTTATTTAGTGTTTTAGATCTATATGTTTATATTATAGTTATTTATTATTAAATTTTCTACATTTTCTTATAGCTTCAGTCACTGTGTGAGTACTGGCCAGAACAAAGTCCTTTATCTATGTGAAAATTAACTTGGCAAATCGTCTCTTTTGATTAACTTTGACTAACTTAAGCATTTGCATGAATGCCATTTTAAAGTACTGTAATATTTACGTTTCGAAACATTTTCCTTCTCTCCTCTCAGGTTCCAGACGAGGTGCCTCTATCTAAACCTCCACCACTGGCTGAAAAGTCAGAAAAGGAAAAGAAAGACGGGGCTGAAGGAGACAAACGAGAGGGCAGTAACGCCACCAACAGTGTCCAGAATGATAAAACAGTGCAGAGGCAGATGTCGAAGAACGTCGATGCCATCGATGACCTGCTGGGTTCACTCAGCTCAGACATGGAGAAGATGGGCGTGCGCACGGCAGCCAAGGGTCACTGCGCCTCCTGTGGCAAATGCATTGCTGGAAAGGTAATGTTTGAGACTGACCTCTGTGGCAGTGGCCACACCCACTCATACAGTCGTACGCAAAAGATGCAGAAAACACGCCAGGTTAGATGACTTGCAGTGTTGATTTGAAAATAAGTGTAAATAAGTTAACATATCCTCTACAGAGAACGTAGATATAACACTCTAATGCATCGTTGGTATTTATTTGAGTTTAACATATTGGAAAAAATAATACATAAAATATAAAATGTGCCATAACTTTTGCACATGCCACATTTATTTATTTATTTATTTATTTATTAATTTATTTTCCAACATAAATTCAGCAAAATTCAGTGTGTTCTCTGTAGAGGACGTATTAACTTCACTTAAAAAATCAACAAAACGCCATTTGACCAGGGGTGCACAGACTTTTGCATACACCTCTATATCTGATACACACACTGCAAGTCCAAAGTTTGGTGACACTTTTTTTCCGAGTGTTGTTTGTTACTGTAGCACATAGCTGATTTGTTAGCATAAAGCAGCTCTGTGCTAATCCTATGAGTCTGTTTATCTTCAACACTTTATCTTCATGTACACGCTGACCAGTGCTGACATCACAACAAAGTTAGAAATGTTTAGCCTTTGGCTTTATCCCTAAGATTCCCAAGACTTTTTTAGTTATTCCCTTAGTTTTGCTGGCTTACAGAGTAAAGTGGATGTATGTTTAAACATATCAAATTATACACTGTTTTGCCAAAAGTATGTGGACACTTGTTGACCCCCCCCATTCCAGTACCATAGCCGTTAATATGAAGTTTGCCCCTTTTTGCGACCATAACAGCCTCCTCTCTTCTGGAAAGGCTCTCCATGAGAGTTTGGAGTGTCTGTGGGAATTTGTGCCCATTCTGTCTAAAAAGCATTTGTAAGGTCAGGCACTGACGTTGGACGATAAGATGTGGCTCACAGTCGACATTCCAATTCATCCCAAAAGTTCAGGGGGTTGAGGTCAGGGCTCAGGGCCACTGGAGTTCCTCCACACCAAACTGGTCACACCATGTCTTTATAGGCCTCGCTTTGTGCACAGGGGCTCAGTCATGCTGGAACAGAAAAGGATCTTCCCCAAACTGCTGCCACAAAGTTGGAAGCACATCATTGTCTAAAATGTCTTTGTATGCTGTAGCATTAATTACCTCTCACTGGAACTAAGGGGCCCAAACCCTGAAAAACAGCCCCAGCCCATTATCCCTCCTCAGCCAAACTGCAGCACTATGCATTCCTGGTGTTCTCCTGGCATCTGTCAAACTAAGATTCATCCATCAGACTGCCAGATAGTGAAGCACGATCCATCACTCCAGAGACACGTTTTCACTGCTCCAGAGTCCAGTGGTGGCTTTACACCACTCCAGCTGACACTTGGCATTGCACATGGTGATCTTAGGCTTGTGGCTGCTCAGCTATTGAAGCTCCTGATGCACAGTTGTGCTGATGCTGCTTCCAGAGGCAGTTTGGAACTCTGTAGTGAGATATACAACAGAGGATAAGTGGACACTTGGTAGCCCCACTCTGAGTTTGCTTGGTCTACCGCTCTGTGGCTGATCTGTTGTTGTTCCTAGATGCTTTCTTCTCACAACAGTAGCACTTACGGTTGACTAGGGCAGATCTAGCAGGACAGAAATTTCACAAACTGACTTGTAGCAAAGGTGGTATCCTATGGGAGTGCTACATTTAAAGTTGCCAAGCTCATTTTCATGGCATTTTAATGTTTGTCCATGGAGACTGCATGGCTATGTGCTTGATTTTATACTCCTGATTACAATGAGTGTGGCTAAAACACCCAGACTCAATAATTAAATGAGAAATTTTGTCAATATAGTGCATCTCAAGTCCCGTCACTTTGTCCACTGCCGTTACAAATACAGGAAATGTACATTTCACTAATTCCAGTGGGAGTCTGGGTTACTGACCACTGCTTTTTCCCTGTTCCTCTGCCCTGTAGATGATCACAGCTCTGGGTCAGGTGTGGCACCCGGAGCACTTTGTGTGTATGGTCTGTAAAGAGGAGCTGGGTACGCGGGGTTTCTTTGAGAGAGACGGGAAGCCGTACTGCGAGACTGATTATCAGAACCTGTTCGCACCGCGCTGCGCGTACTGCAAGGGCCCAATTCTACAGGTAACGCATACTGCACTCTAGCACTGTAAGCATTCCACAGCATTCGGTAACAGAACGTAACACAAAAGAACACAACAGCACAATACGCCACAGTGTAGTACAATACAATACAGAACAACACCACTTAACAGTGAAACACAAAATAATGTAACAACACATCTCTTCACAGAAAGCATAATACAAAATAGTGCATCACAGTATGACACAACACAGGGTAACACAATACAATGTAACACAATGCAACTCAGGGTATCACAGTCCAATACAGCACAAGACAATGTAACACAGAATAATGTAACACAAAATAGAATATCACACTGCAACACACTGCAGACAAAAACAACACAACACAATGTAACACAAATAATGTAAGAACACAACTCATCGCAGAACAGCACAATACCATACAGTGCAATGTACACAATACAATGCAGCACAGCACACTGTAATACAAAATAATGTAACACATCACAACACAGAGTATCACAGTGCAATACAGCACAACACAACATACCACAGAATAATGTAACGCATCACAACATAGAGTATCACACTGCAACATAATACAACACAACACACTACAGAAATATACAACACAAAATAACGTAATGCAGCACAACACAACACACCACAGTGTGTCACAGAACAACACAATAAAACACAACTCAGCGAATCACAGAGCAGTGCAACACCATGTAACACAATACATTACAACACAAACCAACAGAACACAACAGTGTAACACACAGTGTTACACAACACAATACAGTGCAACACAACACCACACAACATAACACAGTGTATTACAAAACAGCACATAATACAACAGGGTGTAAAACATAACAACACGATGTAAAACACAACACAACACAATGTAAAACATACAAGCACTGACCGTGTTACAGTGTGATGTGCTTCACTCTCATGTTTGGATGTTTTCTGTGTAGAATATCTTGACCGCGATGGACACCACATGGCATCCAGAGCACTTCTTCTGTACGCACTGCGGAGAACGCTTCGGAACCGAAGGTAAGGATGAGAACCGAAACACAACACAGCACTAAATAACAGAACACAACTCAGTAGAAAACAACACAGCACAAAACATCACATCACATAGTAACATAATTTAAGCAAACACAGCACAGTGTAACACAAAATAATGTAACCCAACACAACACAACACAATACAGTGAATCGCAGTAGAAAGCAATACAACACCATGCAGTGTGAAACAATACAGTGTTACACAATGGAGTGCAATACAACACAGTGTAATACAAAACAACAACAGGCAGTGTAACATGACAGAATATGTCACAATACAGTGTAACACAACACTATATAACACAAAAATAATGCAACACAGTGTATCGCAGTAAAACACAATACAACATCATGCAGTGCAAACAATACAATACAACATGGTGTAGCAGTACAACACAATACAACACAGCGTAACACAAAATATTGTAACACAACACAGTGTATCATGATACAACACAACACCATGTGGTACAAAACAATACGATGTAACAACGACAAAACAACAACAGGCAGTGTAACATGACAGAATATGTCACAATACAGTGTAACACAACCCTATATTACACAACACAACGTAGTGTAACACAAAATAATGTAACACAACGCAACACATTGTATTGCAGTAAAACATAATACAACACCATGCAGTGCAAAACAATACAATACAACATGGTGTAGCAGTACAACACAACACAGCACAGTGTAACACAAAATAATGTAACACAACACAACACAATACAGTGAATCGCAGTAGAAAGCAATACAACACCATGCAGTGTGAAACAATACAGTGTAACACAAAGGAGTGCAATACAACACAGTGTAATACAAAACAACAACAGGCAGTGTAACATGACAGAATATGTCACAATACAGTGTAACACAACACTATATAACACAAAAATAATGCAACACAGTGTATCGCAGTAAAACACAATACAACATCATGCAGTGCAAAACAATACAATACAACATGGTGTAGCAGTACAACACAATACAACACAGCGTAACACAAAATATTGTAACACAACTCAGTGTATCATAATACAACACAACACCATGTGGTACAAAACAATATGATGTAACACAATGGAGTGCAATACCCAGTGTAACACAATACAACACCAGGCAGTGTAACATGACAGAATATGTCACTAACACTGTGTGAAACTATACAACACAACACACTCCCTACACAGCACCACAACACAAAACAGAACAAAGATGAGCACAAGCCCACCGAGCCCTGCTGGTCACATCCCATATAAATAAAAATAACGCGTGGCCACGACTTAGTTAGGTGTGGGAACGAGATAATTCAGTCGTGGCCATGACTTAGTTAGGCATGGGAACAAGATCATGCCTTACTAAGCTGTGTTCAAGGCTTAATTATCTCATTCCCACGCCTTGCTAAGTCATGGCCACGCGTTATTTTTATTTATACAGGATGTGACCAGCAGGGCTCCATACAAGCCAAATCCCATTGTAACAGACATTAAAACTCTTATATGATGGTTTTAATGTGTATATTTGTGTATTCAGCTGTTAGTGAATGGTGTTCAGTAGTGATGTGTGTGGTTTTGTGTGGTCAGGGTTCTTGGAGCGCGAGGGGAAGCCGTACTGCCCGCTGGACTTCTACCGCCTGTTCGCCCCCAAGTGTTCGGGCTGTGGAGAGCCGGTCAGAGAGAATTACCTTTCAGCCGCGAACGGCACCTGGCACCCCGACTGCTTCGTCTGCGCTGTGAGCTTTTACAGCACTGCACTGCACCACACACACACACACACACACACACACACACACACACACTAATACAGACACACACACACACACACACACACACACACACACACACACACACACTAATACACACACACACACACACACACACACACACACACACACACACACACACTAATACACACACACACACACACACACACACACACACACACACTAATACACACACACACACACTAATACACACACACACACACACACACACACACTAATACACACACACACACACACACACACACACTCACACCAAGAACCTGAACTAGAGAACCTTACAGGTCAAAGTTCTCAGTGAATTAACCTAATTACTCTCTCTCTCAATCCCTCTCTCTCCTGATCTATCTCTCTCTCTCATTCCCTCTATCTCTCTCTCTCATTCCATCTATCTCTCTCTCACATTCTATCTATCTATCTATCTATCTATCTATCTATCTATCTATCTATCTATCTATCTTTTTCTCTCTCTCATTCCCTTTCTCTCCATCTCTCCCTCACTCCATTCTCTCCATCTATCTCCCACTCTCTCATTACCTCCTCCATCTGTCTCTTTTTTCCTCTCACTTTTTCTCTCTCTCTCATTCCCTCTCTCTGTTCTCTTCATCTCTCTCTCTGTCTCTCTTTTTTCCTCTCTCTCTCTGTTCTTTCTGTCTCTCTCTCCCTCCCTCTCTCTTTGTTCTCTCCATCTCCTTCTCTCTTTCTCTCTCTCTGTTCTCTTAATCTCCCTCTCTGTTCTCGCCATCTCTCTCTCCCTCTCTCTCTCTTCCTCTGTCTCTCTCTGTTCTCTCCATCTCAATCTTCCTTTATATCTTTCTCTTTCTCTCTCTCTCTCTCTCTCTCTCCTCTCTCTCTCTCTCTCTCTCAGGACTGTCTGAAGCCCTTCACTGATGGCTGTTTTCTGGAGATGGACGGTCGTCCTCTGTGTTCTCTGCACTATCACTCCAGGCAGGGGACTCTGTGCGGGACGTGCGGAGCGCCGATCTCCGGCCGCTGCATTGCCGCTCTCGACCGAAAGTTCCACCCCGAACACTTTGTGTGTGCGTTCTGTCTGCGGCAGCTCAGTCAGGGGGTGTTTAAGGAGCAGGCTGGGAAACCTTACTGTGGCCCCTGCCACAGCAAACTCTTCATGTAGACCAGCAGCCCCGTCCCAAAACCCCAAATACTGCACCTCCTTTACACTCCCCACTCCAGCACACCTGGTTAAAGGGCAATTACACTGACTTTTAAACATTTCAGCATAATTAAATCGTTACAATGTAAACAAAGTCATTCAGAGTGGTTTGATGTGAAAATGCTTCGTTCTAGAGAACATTGGTGGTGATAGGAACCAGACATCCAAAGAGTTTGATGCCTCACAGAAAGTTATTACATGAAATGGTTATGAATATGTTGCATTATGTCTGAGATGTTATTTTACAATTGTTTTTAGATATTATGTTGGGTTTTTTAATACTTTCATGGCGGAGAGGTGATTTAAGGCAAAATCCCCAAAGATTCTGCTGAAAGTGCTTGTTGCAGGGTAACGCTGCTTCCGCTAAAAGCTATTACAATAATGATGATGATGAGTAGAGGGTTTACAGCTCACTCAAGTGTTCGAGTTTGAAGCAAAAACAGCCTCATCTCAGTTTCAGTGGTTTGTCTGCTGATGATGAGCAGAGGAAAAATGAGTGCAGTTAATAAAAATTATTGTAAAGCATTTATAGTGAATTACAGCCTATTCATAGTGCTTAACAGCACATTTAGCATACTTCTAGTGCATTATACAGCATACATAGTGTACTATATCACATTTGTAGTGCTTTGCACAGCATTTATAGTGCACTACAGCCCATTTGTAGCGCTTCATAGCATTCTAGTATGTGGCAGAGCATTCCAAGTGTGTTCTAAGGCCTTTATAGTGTAGTACAGTTCATAGCAGACTATGGCGCATTGGTAGTGTTTTATAGAGCATTTGTAGTGTATAGCACATTTATAATGTGTTATAAAGCGTTTACAGTGTACTACAGCTTATTTGTAGTGTGTTGTAGAGAATGTGTAGTGTCCTATAGTGCATTTAGTGTGATATATAGAACTTTTATAGTGTCATATAGAGCATTTATACTGTACTATAGTGCATTTATAGTGTCATATTGAACACTGATAGTGTGCTACATTACACTTATTGCACCATACAGCAAGTAAGAGGATGTAACTAATGCTACAGTATACATTAGTACTGAATCTTATGAGGAATGCTCCAAGATGATGAAACATTCTTTCATATGCATAGCATGGCAGCATAATCGTGGTACACAGCAAAATGAATATGAACCATGTAACCCACAATTAACTGAATAAACATCTTTGAACACCAGTGTGAATGTGAGATCATCCTTGATTTTTAGGGCCATTTTGTGCCTTCTGGGATGGATTAAATGTCACTACAGTACATTTTCACTGAGTAAATGCAACTCCTTGTTTCTACGCTCGTTGTCTATTTTATCAGCTCCACTTACTATATAGGTGCACTTTGTAGCTCTACAGTTACAGACTGTAGTCCATCTGTTTCTCTGCATACTTTGTCAGCCCCCTTTTACCCTGTTCTTCAGTGGTCAGGACCCCCATGGACCCTTACATTGCAGGTACTATTTGGGTGGCGGATCACAGCAGTGCTGCTGGAGTTTATATATATATATATATATATATATATATATATATATATATAATATATATATATGAATAAATTAAAAATAAATTAAAAATAACTTGCCTGCAGCAAGAGGCCACATCCACCGCACTCTTACAAGCCCCCCACTAAGCACGGACTTAAGTGAGAATGAGCCCACTGGCAATACTATTAGTATTAGGGACTGTGCAAATTACATAGGTGTCAGTCTCTCTCTCTCTCTCTCTCTCTCTCTCTCTCTTTCTCTTTCTCTTTCTCTCTCAAGCTCTCACTGTCTCTCTCTCTCTCTCTCTCTCTCTCTCTCTCTCTCTGTCTCTGTTGTCTCCGTCAGGCTGAATCCACCCTCCTGCTCATGTAGCTGCTAAGCCGGCTCTAATACAGGCCTTCCTGAAAGAGCTTTCTGTGTAACACTGCTCTGTGTGTGATCCTGGATTTAACTCTCTCTACAAAAGTCTCCACTAATCCCACTGCAGGGCCTGCTGGCAGAAACCACTTGTTCTGAATGAATTAGCAGGTACTACATCACGACATCACTACTGAACATCTTTATGAGTGAAAACATGTTGATCGTAGGCACTAAAAATGTCATCTTTTCTACACATTTTCATTACTTGGGATTTTACAGATTAGAATTATTTTTAGTTTTGTTTTCGATTGCGAGTTTGATCGCCGATGATGCCACAGCCCGTAGCTGGGGGTCTAAGACAGCAAGATTGTCCTCACTCTCTCTGGGTGGGTAGGATGGTTCAAGGTGGGCCTGTAATAGCTTATGTAACAGAGGTAACAGTTAGTGTTCTCCTCCAAGCGTGTTGAGCTGCCCAATCATGTTGCATTAGCAGCAGTTTGAAAAGAGCTTCACATGTTGTGCTGGCCTTCGCCCTCTTAGCTTGGCAACATCATGTGATAGTGGGGCTCCTAACTATCAGGTGGACTTGGACATTTACAACTAGCATTTTTTGATCAAGTCAAGTCAAGTCAAAGTTTGTTTATGTAGAGCTTTTTACAACAGGTGTTGTCACTAAGCAGCTTTACAGAAAAATCCAGGTCCAAACCCCCATGAATGTCGCCAATGGTGACTGATCACCTATGAAACATCCAGTTCAGTCCTGATTCTAGGGTTAGGATTAGGGCCAGGGTTAGGATTAGGTTTTGGATTGAGGTTAAGGTTAGGTTTAGGATTAGTGCCAGGGTGAGGATTAGGCGTTGGGTAAGGTTGGTAAGGTGAAGTTTTTGTGTAATGGCAGTAACTACTAAATGTCAGTAATGTATCAACAGAACATCTACAAGATATTTACATCAATGTATTCAAATGCTTCACTACTGATACTTCACTGATATGTTGTTGATGTGGTACTGATAGTTTGTTAAGAGTTTATTAATCAGCTACAAAGGACCACGCCAAATACACAAACACACATACACACACATCATCTAAACCGCTTATCCTTCTGGGTCATGGGGGGAGTTGGAGCCTGTCCCAGAAGTCATCGAGTGGAAGGCGGGATACACCCTGGACAGGTCGCCACACACTCAATCACACCTAGGGGCAATTTAGCATGTCCAATTGGCCTGACAGCACGTCTTTGGACTGTGGGAGGAAACTGGAGCACCCAGAGGAAACCCACACAGACATGGGGAGAACAGGTCAAACTCCACACAGAAAGGACTCTGGTTACCCGGCCGGGGAACTGAACCCAGGCCCCTCTTGCTGTGAGGCGACAGTGCTGCCCATTGTTAAATGATTTTGTCTGCCTAAGTGAGTTTAGAGCTTTGATAACAGTGCATTTCCTTTACTAAGCTGGATTTTGTGTTTTATATTACATGTCTGTTGTTTTTTGTCTGTTTTGAAAATGCTCTATTTATAACTCCTGTTCCTGGAAATGATGCTATCTTGGCTGGGTCTCCCTTGAAAAAGAGATTTAAATCTCCAAAGGAATTCCTGGTTAAATAAAGGTTAAATAAATAAGAAAGAGCAACATTGAAAACAGGCAGGATTGCATTTTATGGCCACGGTGAAATAAAATTCCAGCACGCTTTTATTTTTCAGCTTCAACTTCTATGCTTTTAGCTCAATTTAGCTTAGCCTGTTTGTAGAGGAGCATTTTTTGCAGTGAATAAAACGTCCAAAAGCAGAACATCCATCAAACCCTGTGGGAGTGAGTTAAAGAAAGAGAGCGGTGGGGGCTGGTCCTGTATAAGAGGGGGAAACACGGGGGTCTCGGCCCTATAAAAGCAGCGGGAGTTAGAGGGCTGTCTGAGTTTCAGGGTGCCGCAGGTTGGGGTAAGGTTTATGACCGGCGGGCTGAGGCAGGGGAGGCTGGTGGACTGCACTGGAGCGTGAAGGCTAACAGGGTTAGAAGAGCAAGACGTCCACTCAGGCGAGCCGAAACCTGACCCTCTGGCCCCAAGTGGCCCGCGGCCCCTCCGTCACCCCACTCAGCCTCTGGGGCCACGGCACGGGTCATGGTGCGCTGAATAATGCCCAATCTGGCAACCTTGCTTAATAAACAATAAAAGCAATAACTGTTCCATAAGTCACAGCAGCGTTGGACATAGTAGTAGATTAACCCCGTCACTGGAGAAGAGCAGTGAGTGGACGCAGGGGCCTCGTAAAGGAACAGAGAGATGCAGGGAGAAAGAACATGGGTTGCCAGAATGATGTACTAGGGCTGATACTGTATAAACACGGATTCATATGTAACTGAACCCGCTTATGGAGAAAGTGACATGCCGTCGTCTGCTGTAATCAACTTATTAGTCACATCTATCATCACAGCCAATAAAATGCATCTCCTTTTCTTAACATGATTTGAAAATGCTGTGTGTCCAGAACAATATTTTCAGATTTCATGATAAATGAACCAATAGAAATGTTACAAACTTACAGCCATCTGAGACCTGGGGCCGTATTACAGAAAATTCTGGTAACACTTTCTATGAATGTCACCTTTGTAAGCATCTATAAACACATTTTATAACATGTTATAATGTATTCATAAGACATTATAAACATGGTTATAAATATTTATAAAAAAATTACACTAGCCATGTTTATTATACATTATGAATTGTTAATATAATGCATTATAAGTAGTGTTAATAACATGTTATACTGTCAGTGCCAAAGAAGTCAGTCCCAGCTTGGAGAGCGTAAAGTAAAGACAAATACCAAGCTAACGGTGGTGAACATTGACTTTCCCACATTGGGTAAAACACTGATGGCAGCTCTAGTTTAAACTCTGACATTTGAAGCCTGTAATGTGCTTTACTGTGAATGTTTTAGTGTTTCAGTAAATACTTCAGTAAATACTTCAACTTGAAGCCTCACTCTGAACACTGGAGGAGGCTTTAGTACAGTACGCTTCACTTTACTTAGAGCGGACAAATACAACTTATGAGCTCTTATAATTTGTTATGATCAGTACTTATAATGCATTATGTTAACAATTCATAATGCATAATAAGCATGGCTATAACGTATAATGCATTTTTCTAAATATTTATAGCTGTGTTTATAATGTCTTATGCATGCATTATAACATGTTATGAATGCATTTATAGATGCTTACAAAGGTGACATTCATAGAAAGTGTTACCAAATTTCCTATCTTTTTGTCTTAACTTAATCTGACAGGTCAAGATAAGATTGTTTACAAAGTCATATTACAGAAGCAAAACTATCTTAATGTAAGAATCTTATCTTACAGCATCTTTTCTTATCTCAAGTTAAGAAATCTTAACTTTCTCGAATGAAGTCGACAATCAACCGTTGGGTCTGTTACCTAGCAACCGACTATACGCGCACAGATGAAACGTAAACACGTAATCAAGTTAGCCAGACAGCTAACGTTAGCTGCCGTTACTGAGGTAGCTAAAGAAAGTCAAAAAATTAAAGTGAGATAAACTAAGTTAAAAATGTTGTTACAGCCCTTCGTGCTGTTTATCAGCGTCGCTGCTCCAGTTTCAGTCTCCATTTCCACAAACACTTTAGCCGAGTGCGCTAACTTTATTCCTCCTAATAAACAGACACACGTCTTGCGCTTAACTGACTCGTGACTCAATTTAGACTCATGCTTAACTGACCCGTGACTTCACTCAGACTTGCACTTAGCTGACTTGTGATGTGACTTGGACTTGCGTTTAACCGACTCACAACTTTTCTTAGACTCGGTTGACTCATAACACGACTCAGACATACGCTTATCTGACTTGCCACAAGCCTCAGACTGAAGCTCAACTGACTCACAACCCGACTCAGACTCTCACTTAACTGACTCACAACTTGACTTGGACTCACACTCAACTGATTCATGACCTGGTTCAGAATTGTGCTTACCTGACTCTTGACCCGACTCGGACCTGCATTTAACTGACTTGTGATGTGACTCAGAATTGCACTGAACTCACTCACAACTTTACTTAGACTCAATTGACTCACAGCTCGACTTGGACTCATGCTCAACTGACTTAGCACTCGACTCAGACTCGCACTTAATTGACTTGCAACTTGACTTGGACTAACACTTAACTGACTCTTGACTCGACTCAAACTTGCACTTAACTGAGTTGTGATGTGACTTGGAATTGTGCTTAACTGACTTGCTACTTGACTTAGAATAATCCTTAACTGACTTACCACTCTGCCTCGTGACATGACTTGGACTCACGCCTAACTAA